CACATAAGCAGATGAGTGGTCCAATTTCATTTTCTAGTGTGACTCAGCAGCTGGCCTCCATTTTGGCCAATTGAATCTTCTTATAACTTATTCCTTAACTACTGCTTTCTGACTGTGGGTCCTCTTGGCACTATCAGCCAAAGAAAGCTTTGAAGCTGGCTCAAGTTACCAGCAGGAATCAAGATAACATGTTTTAATGCTGCTTAGATGTTTCTGCCCCCAGAGATACTCAGATAGTCATCGCTCCATGATTCATACACTTATTGCCCCCTTTTGACATTTTCCTTTGAAAATTTTTAGTCTCAGATGATCTGCCTTTTTTGCCTAATGTTTTCGTCTGCTACCCAGACAGCCAGTGTCCGTTTAGGAAATGACACCAGAGAGAGGAAAGTAAATGAGCCATGGGTGTGGGGGGGATCAAGCTAAGAGAGAAATGACTTTTATATTCTACCATTTTGAGAATATCCACATGATTTTCCTCAGTTTATAGAAACAATCAAGAAGTGTATACACTAACTGAAGAAAAGATTTATTTCATTGATGCGCTATTTGCCTTCTGCTTCAACTCCAGGTATAAACAGTGATTCAGAGAAATGTGTCTAAAAAAATTAGTGAAGATCTGGGAACGCCAAATAGTTGTACGATGGTACAATGTTCTAACTACATTTGACTTCAAACATCCTGATAGAATGGCCATTTATTTGTTCAAGGCTCTGGTTACCATTTCTTAGTGAACTCTTTAGCAATGCCACCCACTATCAGTCTTTTTAAAGTCGTAAAGATATGCATTCTAACCATGGAAACCACAGGCTCTAATAATATTTGATTGTCATCCCCTTGTGTTGTAATTCTATACCAATGAGGGGGTGGAAGAGCCATAACTGTTATCACTGAGTATAGCATTTCATAACATCTTTGAGCAAACAGAAATAACCTCCTTCAAAAGCATCCAGGGTCACTTTGATGTAGCCACATATTGCTTCTTGCTCCCTGGAATTCACTCATCACTGGAAGGATGGATGATGACTTTCCCCAGCCATTTGGTGTTTCCTGTTTCTGTCATTCTTTAAATACTTACATATTGTCATCAGCTTTTAGTCACTATTCTGCAAAGTTCGGATACCTCAATAGAAGGCAAGCAGACGGAAGAGAATTAGATAATATCTGTAAAATCTTACAGGGCTGAACATACATGTAGGGCTCATGAAGTACCCCTGCACTGAGGGTTCCATTTCTTTGAATTGTTTAGACACAGTCATGGATTGAATTATGTCCCCCCCAAAAAATGTGTGTATGAATTTGGCTGGGCCATGATTCCCAGTATTGTGTGGTTGTCCTCCATTTTGTGATTGTAATTTTATGTTAAAGAGGATTGGGGTGGGATTGTATAACACCCTTACTAAGGTCACATCTCTGATCCAATGTAAAGGGAGTTTCCCTAGGGTGTGGTCTGCACCACCTTTTGTCTTACAAGAGATGAAAGGAAAGGCAAGCAAACAGAGAATGGAGACCTCATACCACCAAGAAAGCAGCGCAGGGAGCAGAGCGCGTCCTTTGGACCTGAGGTTCCTGTGCTGAGATGCTCTTAAACCAAGGGAAGATTGATGACATAGACCTTACTCCAGAGCCGACAGAGAAAGCATTTCCCTGGAGCTGACAGCCTGAATTTGGACTGGTAACCTACTGGATTGTGAGAGAATAAATTTCTCTTTGTGAAAGCCATCCACTTGTGGTATTTCTGTTATAGCAGCACTAGATGACTAAGACAGACACCATGTGGGAAGGAATTCACTCAAGAAAAGAAAGGGTTAGGCCAAACAGGTGTTGAATAAAAGTACTAGTGGAGAAGGAGGTAGGTAGTTGGTGGGGTTTATTTATGTATTTTGGTTTGGAGGGTGTCTTAGTTATCTAGTGCTGGTATAACAGAAATACCACAAGTAGACGGCTTTAGCAAACAAAAGTTTATTCTCTCACAGTTTAGTAGACTAGAAGTCTGAATTCAGGGCACCAGCTCCGGAGGAAGTCTTTCTCTCTCTGTTGGCTCTGGAGGAAGGTACTTGTCATCAATCTTCTCCTGGTCTAGGAGCTTCTTTGCTCAGAAACCCCAGGTCCAAAGGATGCGCTAGTCTGATTCTTGTTTCTTGGTGGTATGAGGTCCCCATGTCTCTGTGCTTGTTTCTTTCTTTTATATCGCAAAAGAAATTGGCTTAAAGCACTATCTAATTTTGCAGTCTCATCAACATAACTACCAATAATCTCATCTCATTAACATTATAGAGATAGGACTTACAACCCACAGGAAAATCACATCAGATGACAAAATGGTGGACAATCACACAATACTGGGAATCATGACCTAGCCAAGTTGACAGATATTTTGGGGGGATACAATTCAATCCATGATGGGTGGGGGAGAAAAAACAATTACCAATTTTGTAGAGGTATAATTTACATAAAATAAATTGCTCTCATTTCAAGTGTACAGATTGATAATTTTTGAAAAACATGTAATTACTTGTGTAACCAGCTCTACAACCAAGATATAGAACAATTTTATTACCTCCCCAAATTATGCACTTTTCCAGTCAATTCTAATCCCCTACCCTCTGGCCATAGGCAACCACTGATGAAATTTGTCCTTTCTAGAGTTTTACATGATTAAAATCTTACAGTACATTCTCTTTTGAGTAAGGCTTCTTCCACCCTAGGAAACTAAGATAGATGATTTTTTATTTCACTTTCTACTAGTTTCCTATTGCTTTGTAACAAATTACCACCAATTTTGTGACTTAAAACAACATAAATATTTTGTTTTATATTTCTGGAGGTCAGAAGTCCTAAAATTGAGATATCACCAGGGCTGTGCTCCTTCTGGAGGCTCGAGGGGAGAATCCATTCCCCTGTCTTTTTCAGGTTCTAGAGGTCACCTGCATTCCTTTGCTCATAGCACGTTCCTCATATCACTCATCCATGATTACATCCCCTACTCTGGCTCTGATCCTCCTGACTCCCTTTAGAAGGACCCTTATGATTATATTGGACCCACCTGGATGATACAAGCGATTCTCCCCATTTCAATATCCTTAATTTAATCGTATCTGTAAAGACACTCTTGCCACGTTAGGGTAACATATTCCCATGCTCTGGGGATCATAAAGTGAATTTTCTTTGGAGTCCATTCTTGAGCCTATGACACACTCTGATGTCTTTTCAAAAGGCACTTTAAATGCTTTTCTTATTTGAGGAATTAGCATTTGAAGGATATGTCTTTCTTTGGAAGATCAAAAGTCATCCATGGTCCATATTATGGTATGTCAGCCTAGGCTTCAATATTTTTAGGTAAGTTGTTAGTCTTTACAAATATCTCCTAGGTAACCCAGAAAATGCTTCTTTGCATGTTGAAAGTATTCTAACCATGTACCATACTGTTGTATGTATCCCAATATAAACCATGAAACTGTGGGTAAAAGTGTTGGCCAAGGAGTAGACGTACATGGTGTACACTCACAACATTCACAACAACAATGCAACTGTCTCCTAGAACATCTAGGACAGAATTGATCACTCCCTTCTCTGCGGCCTACCAACTGCAAAAGGAGCCTGTGGATACAGGGTGAAAAATATTACATTTTCCTCCATTTTTGGCTCAAGGGGTGTGTTAGGCGCCTGGTTTTAATGATTATTTTAATGGTATTTTAAGCCATAGGCTTAGATGGCTCCTCACTCTTGCCAGTTTTTACTTGTCTTTTATGTCTTAAAAGCCTTGTTCTTCAATCCCCCCTGGGCAGAGACTGAGATTTCCCCTGGGAGCTTTGCAGTGCCAAGCAAATCACTGGCCTTCAGTAAATAATAATAACATTGGGGAGCTATGACAGGGGATGGAAAATGGACCTTTTCCGACCCTTGGTTCCCCAGGATTCTCAGAGCCCACCCATTTTGGCATATACTTTGGAAACTGAAAGATCTCTGAAGGGGAATTATTCATTTTTACAATGACATCCGTAACTGTGCATATGTGAGCATGTATATGTACTCTGGTCACAGCACATGGACTTGAAAAGAAACAGCAACAAAAAGCAAACCCTACTGAACACCTACTATGTGAAAATCACTTTGTTGAGCATTCTGAGGTGAAAGATGACCAAATAAATGCCTCTGCCTTGCAAGGAACATATGCAGAAAGTTGCTACATGCCTGGTGCATATATAGAGGTTACGTGCCCATATGTTTATATAACACCTTTTTAATTAAGTTGGTAATTTGATTCATTTTTATTCGGAGTTATACTTTGTAAACTGAACCTAATTTCAGCTCAAGGACTTTCTTTTTAGCAGTTGTGATACTTCTTGAAGTAAGCGGGTAACTTAGGGCCACTAAGGGATTCTTTAAACCACTTGTCCCTCAGTCATTTTTCCATTCTCCCGTTCCTTTTACATAAAAATGACTTAATGATATTTACGTTTTGGAATCATTGGCACTACTAGCGCTTGTTCACTACAGAACTGGGGCAGGAGAGAGGATATGGAAGAAATTTCCATTCATCTTGTATAAAAATACACACACACAAATACATATAAGTGTGTGTGTGTGTGCACATGCATACTTGTGTGTATGTGTGCTTGTGGTTAATGTCCTGTCGTCAGAATCTTCTGAGAAATAAAAATGCTTTACACAGTGACAACAAATATACAAGCATGGGAGTGGCTGTCTGTGAAGGAATTATACCACACCTTTTCCCCCGGGTTTTTATTCTTATTATTATTGTGCTTTAGACGAAGGTTTACAGAGCAAATTTGTTGTTGTTGTTGTTAGGTGCTGTCAAGCTGATTTCGACTCATACCGAGCCTATGTACAACAGAACAAAAAACTGCCCGGTCCTGCGCCATCCTCACAATCGTTGTTACACAGCAAATTCGTTTCTCGTTAAACAATCAGTACACATATTGTTTCGTGACGTTGGTTGGCAAACCCACAACGTGTCAACACTCTCCCCTTCTCGAAAAATATGTTAGCACTTCATGAATTTGCAGGTCATCCTTGCGCAGGGGCCATGCTAACCTTCTCTGTATTGTTCCAATTTTAGTACACGTGCTGCCAAAGTGAGAGCTCCACAGGGTTTGTTTTTGTTTTTTGTTTTTTTATTAGTAGCAAAAGGAGACCTGAGATCCAAGAATGTACCTGTAGCTACAGCCGGAGACTCCTAGCCCCCATCTGACTGTGCCCCACTTATTTGGGGATAACGAATATTCCAAAGTTTAAAGAAGAATCTTCTCTTTCCCCTTCACCCTTCCCTGGTATGAACCCTGCAGCCCACTCCCAACCCTCACACCAAAATCCCCTTAATAATCCAGGTAAAAGTTGCTCTGAGACCTCTTTTTGTTTTTAATGGCTTTGATGTAGGTGTAACAATTGAGTCAGAATTTTCTGGGTTTTTTTTTTTTTTTTTTTGGATGAATGAAAGTTGGCTCCTGGAAAGCCCCATGCCTCCCTTCCTCTCTGCAGCATGCCCGTAACGGCTGTGACAATATCCTGTGGCAATCTAGAAACATCATCCCATATCAAGCTACTGTAAGCTTTTCCCACTCTTAACAATGTCTTAGCAAAGCTGCTTTGATGTCTTGCCCTCAATGAAGGCATGCTGTCCGATGAAGCACACCTCACAGAGCAATATTTTTAAACGGTTTTTTTAATTAAAATTTTTGAAAAGAGGGAAAAATCACTTGCATTTTTCCCACCTAATAACTAATTTACACTTTAACCGCCTTTTATTCTTTATCTTTTTAGCCGTGGTGGCACTGTAGTTAAGCACTCAGCTGCTAACCAAAAGGTCGACGGTTTGAACTCACCAGTAGCTCCGCAAGAGAAAGACATGGCAGTCGGCTTCCTCACAGATTTACTGCCTTGAAAATCCTATGGGGCAGTTCTACTCTGTTCTGTAGGGCCACTATGAGTCAGAATCGACTCGACAGCAAACAAAAGCAACTTTATCTTTTGAATATCTGTTAGTTAAAAATATGTAAGCATGGAAGACTGAACCCAGCAGGAACATGGAAACTTCTCTTTACCGTCACTATTTCTTTTTCCTTCCTACACAACCCAATCTTGTAAGGGCTCCTAATAAGAACTGCCATTTGATTAACTGGATTTTATCTACGCTCTCCTAGTCTCTCCATTCACTTTCGGTGAGGATGTATTCATCATTATTTTTTTCCCCTCCTCCTCCTCATTCTTCTTCTTTCACTACCTTCCAGATACTGTGCCAACTGTTCCCATGAAGTATCTTATATAACTTTCATCACAATCCTATTATGAAAATACTACCATCCCTATTGGGGACTGGGCTGCTCAGTGGTTAAGCATTTGACTGGTCACCAAAAGGTCGGCAGTTCAAATCCACCAGCCGCTCCTAGGAAATCCTATGGGGCAGTTCTACAGTGTCCTATCAGGTGGCTATAAGTCAGAATCGACTCAACAGTAATGGGCGATGGGTTATCATCATCCCTATTAGAGAAGAAAACAATGAAGTTGTAGAAAGGCAAGGAATTTGCCCAAGATCAAAAATCAGAAGTAGTTAAAAAAAAAAAAAAAAAGATTCAAACCCAGGACTGTCTTCTGTTAGTTTCTAAACAAATACACGTGTGTGTGTGTGGTTAAGAGCCAGGGATGCTAACCAAAAAATGTCAGCAGTTCGAATCCACCAGGCGCTCCTTGGAAACTCTATGGGGCGGCTCTACTCTGTCTTATAGGGTCACTATGAGTTGGAATCGACTCAATGGCAATGGGTTTGGTATGGTGGTAAACAAATACAGACATGCTTTTTGTATGTACATACATGATCGGTACCAAATAAATAATCACAACACCACATTTACAGTGTGATGGGTGATATAGTAGAGATAGTTAAAAAGTGTCACTTAAGAATTAATGGGAGGGTAACTCTGGAAAATCAAGTAAAATATCACAGAGGAAGTGACATTTACCCTATATTTTGAAGGATAAATTCAAGTTCACAAATGGGAAAGATAGGAAAACGTTTCAAAGTTATAGAAGAGCATCTTTTCTTTGAGGAAGAGACAGACATTCAGATGGGCAGGAGCATCAGGCCCATGGTGGGGATTATGGGAAAATGGCTACAGAAAGAATACGGGGTAGGATGTGAAAGACTTAACATTCTGTCCCAGAAAGCTAGTGGAGAGGTTTAAGCTCTCTGGATTTTTTCTTTTTTAAAGAAAAGAGTTAGTCAGTGAAATATTTAAAAAGGCAATTTTATTCACACATATACTCAGCAATTATTTATGATGCACTTATTATTGGCAAGCATTTTGGAAAATAGTAGATGCGAAACATGAGCCAGTTGTTCAGGAAATATACTATTTTGTGGAGGAAATAATACGTGCTAAAAATACTCGGAAACATCATTATAAGATGATAACGTTTATGCGCGTTTCCTGCGGAGACACGTGGCATTAGAGATAAGTGTGATAAGAAGGCGGAAGAGGGAAGAAGAAACCCACAAAGACATTGACTTCCATTTCACTAAAAATTAGGTTCATCCAGGAACAAAACTAAACATCGAGTTAGCAATTAGATAAGGAATATTTGAACCCCAGTAAAGAAGACTTGTGGCTCTAAGAGTTTAAACCCTGTTCTTTGTATAAATATGAGCTGTATTCACTATTCCATCATTACTTGAGGTTCTTAGATGGAATTGTCAATGCCGTGCTCCACTGAGAAAATCAACGTCTCCTTTAAAGAGACCAGCAAAGATTTATGTCACACATTTCTGGTCCTCAGACAACACTCAGAGGTCAACAGGGATCCCATAACTGACAAAGAGAAAGACAGAATGGTGTTAGGCTGAGCTGAGCCTTTTACTGCTGGTGGGTCTACTTGACTTGGAAAAGCCTCAGAAATGTTGTCCTGCTGGTGCACTCTTTAAACATAAATAACGCAAAGTCCCAGGTTGTTTTTTTCTTTTTCTGGTCCATTAGAATATTCCCAGTCTGTGGCTCCAGGTCCTGACATCAGCTTCCATAAAAACAACACAGTTTTACTGTTAAACCAAAGTTTCTTTAGCCCCAAAGTGTACCACTGCTGCACTTATTTATGCAGAAAACTGACTTCAAACTGGAAAGCCTTTGATGGTGCATTGTCAAGAAGCCAGAATGAGTGAAATGATTTGTAAAAGGCTTCTCGGAGTACCTCAGGTGTGAACAGATGAGAACACGGAGAGAGAGCAGTTGTAAAGACTTTCTGTGTTTCTATTTCTGGAAATGCCAAGACTTTTCTTCTCACCCCTGCTTCGATTTTTTAGAAGAGAAATAAAAAAGCTCAAGAAAATGGTGCTGAAATAACCCTGATTATTCAATAAAAGTGCAATGATGAAGCGCTTGGCTGCTAACCGAAAGGTTGGCAGTTCAAACCCACCAGCCGCTTTGCAGGAAAGAAGACCTGGCGATCTGCTCCCCTAAAGATTACAGCCTAGGAAACCCTATGGGGCAGCTCTACTCTGTCACATGGGGTCTCTATGATTCAGAATTGACTTGACGCACACACCAATGAGAGCAAGCTGGCATGTCCTTAATAACTGAAGTATTTTGAAAGTTGCATTTAAAAGACAGTGCCCAGGGATGGTTACAGTGGTATTGGAAGCAGAAAGTCGAAGCTGAAACTGGCATCACTACTTTAGCACTAGATTCCCCCTCCCAGTCTTCTTCACACACGAGACTTTGTTGTTGTCGTGGTTGTTAGCTGCTGTCAGGTTGGGTCCCCTGAGACTTAGCATCAGACTACACTGTGGTTATAAGCTACTAGGGGACAATGGTTCTTGCAAGCTAGTCCTTTAGCTCAATGCCTACTGTGTTGCCATAAACATTTTGAACATTGCTAAATGCATTTTTGAAAATGATGATGATCACGGAGATACTAGGAATGACCTAGAAAATTTAAGAATGGAAATATCTCTAGAAGTAACAATACTTTTTTTTTCTTACTTCAGAAGAAATAGTACCATCCCACCAAGTTAAAAAGAATAAACAGGGATATCCACTAATATAATCTATCCTAGATATCATTTTGAATTTCGGTGAGAGCACCTTGATTCAAGTTTCCTTGCAATGAGGTGTTACTTTTGTCCATTGCAATGACAGATAGTGGTGGTACATGTTCTGAATTATGGACTCATTGGCAATCAGTATCTAATGGCTTCTGGTAATATACTCAGTAGATAAGCAGAATAATATAGTGGGCCTTGAACCTGGAGGGCCTGGCTGAGTGGCCTCAAGTGCTTTACCTTTTCCCTCTACCTCTGTTTCCCATTCTACAACTTGGGCATCGTGATTTCTGATTTCTCTTTCCATAGAAACATGTTCTGAAAAATTGAACACATGCCTCAAATGTAGCTGCCATTAGAACTGCATGATAAACTGGCATAAATAATTACCATCTTTACCATCTTGACTAAAAATTGTGTGAGACTGAGGCTTCACATGTTTAGTAAACTCGTTCCAAGACCCATTGCTGTCAAGTTGATTCCGACTCATAGCAACCCTACAGGACAGAGTAGAACTGCCCTATAGGGTTTCCAAGGAGCGGCTGGTGGATTCGAACTGCCAACCCTTTGAGTAGCAGCTGAGCTCTTAACCAGTGCGCCACCAGGGCTAATGTTTTTAGTGACCACTGACAAATGCCAGAGAGATGTATTAGACAATTCCCCCAGCTACCCAGACAGCCTCTCATACCCATGTCAGAATAAAAGGAAAACAATGTTTTTGCAGCAAATTCATTTTTATGGAAGCAGCCAAATCACATGGTCCTCCGAGCCTTTAGGAAAGCAATAAAAACAGGCCAGGCAGCCATCTCACTGCAGGGGCCTCGGAGGGTGGAGGAAGAATTTTAAAAAATCATTTGTAATGTATATACATAATACATATATTACACAAATTATATATGTATATGCATGTGCATATATATGTATACACACACACACACATACACATACAAAGAGAGAGAAACAGCACAAGTATGCAGCCTGGTGGCTCAATGATTAATTATTTGACTGCTAAATGTAAGGTCAGTAGTTCGAACCCTCCAGCAGCATCATGGGAGAA